GTTGTGTGTAAACACTCCTAACAGAAGGCGGTACCTTGCTGTATTTACACGTTGTTGTGTGTAAACACTCCTAACAGAAGGCGGTACCTTGCTGTATTTACACGTTGTTGTGTGTAAACACTCCTAACAGAAGGCGGTACATTGCTGTATTTACACGTTGTTGTGTGTAAACACTCCTAACAGAAGGCGGTAGGCGGTACCTTGCTGTTTCCGGAGGTTGTGGTCTGATCACCGGTCGGCTCTGTCGCCCCCTGCTGGCGGAGCTCGTGCTCCTCGTCCTGCTCGTATGAGGCGTTCTCGAACCCCCGGGCGGCGCAGCCCGCTGTAGCCTTCCAGGGCGTCGAGGTCGGGGACACTCCTCCTCCTCCTCCTCCTCGCAGCTCCCGGAGCTCTACGGCGTTGAAAGAGGATTCCATCTGTCGGATGTGCTCATGTCCTCACCGCCCCCCGCTCTGCATCATCCTCACTGATGAAGATCAGACAGGAAGTTCAACAAACTAAATAATAATAATGTTCCTTTAAGTGGTCGATATAGTGACTTATTTGATTTATTTAAATATTCATAACCTGTTGGACTAAATCTACACATTAGTGACCTGCAGCCTGACAGCTTATGTATTTATGAAATATCTTTATTTTGTGTATAAAATACAGGTTTTACACTTCAATAGTAGTTCGTAGTACTACAGTGAAATATAGTGAAGACTTCTCTTATTCATGAGTCACTGCTGTTAGTATCACTTCTTATACACTGTATTTAATCTTTAATGTTGTATTTTACTCTATTTTCTTAATTTAAAAAAAAGTATTTATTAAATTAATCTTCTTCTATTCTATTTTGTGTTATTATTTATTTTATGTTCGTAAATCTTTATATTTATATTCTATTGTTTTGTTCTTCTAATAAAACTCTTCTGGATAAATAAAGTTCTATCTTTCTCTCATTTTAAATTAACACACATTTTATAAAGTTACGGTAAAACTCTTACAAATACAATACTACTCTGAATGAGTACTTTTACCATTGTAGTACTCTTTAACCCTAACTCTTTATACTCCATATTCTACACACAGAACATCTCACCTCAGTAGTTCTTTATCTCCATTTATCTTCTCCTCCTCACCATTAATGCTGTCACTTCCTGTTGAGCCCTAACACACACACACACACACACACGCACACGTGGAGACAGCATGGTGATGACACAGTGAGATAAACGTCTATAACGCTGTATAAACATTCATGTATTAATAAATCGGTGAACAGATTATCTGACAGATGAACTCTGAGATCTGGGTGTGAACCTCGCTCATGCGCAGTTCAGCCTGTATCTCACCGGTTGTTAATCAGAAGCCTGTGTGTGAATATTAGTGTTCATCACCAGGCTGTGGTATTACCTCATCATCGTTATTATTATGATGTAATTTCATCCATGACATCTGTCATTTGTGCTTCTTTGTATTTTTTAAATACATCCTCCCGGTTTATTTTAATTCAATTCAATTCATTTTTGTATCGCAAAAAGATCAGAAATCACAAATTAAACATCTTTGATGTTGTTTCTCTAGCCGGTTATAATCCCTAAAGGCTGAAGCAGCTCGCGGACACGGTGACCGATCATCGGCACATCAGGCGCCCTAAGCCCGCAGCAGAGAGCCCGAGAGACCGCGGGACGATCTCCAGCACCGCGACCTTGTGATGCGCAAAAAAAAAACAAAAAACCTGGACCAGTACCCTCCATCTGTGTGTCTGTGTGTCTGTGTGTGTGATGATATTATCTCCACACCGACTGACCCGTTATTCATGATCCGGATGTGACGGCTGATAAAAAGCTTCTTATGTGGATATAAATAAAAACAGCTGATCGTAAGGCAGGTTTGATAGATTCGGTATCAGGCGGCACCGACCTGAACCAGAACCAGCACGGATACAGCGATCGATCACCTGCAGGGCATCGATCAGAGGGTTTTGGGTTCTTTGCGTAAAGTGATCGGGATGAGAGCGCGCGCGGTCCTACCTGGTGCTGATGGTGCCACGCAACCGGGCGGGAATCAGGAGGTTCTGCAGGACATCATCATCCGGAGAGACGGAGAGATGCTGGATCATGTGGGAGGGAGGGAGGGAGGGGGGGGG